GGTAGCAAAAGGAAACAGATCTCTGGGTTGCAGGCCAGCCAGAGTTACACGATGAAACCCTGTCTCAAAAAACAGTTTAGCTAGTTGCTGACAACTTATCTAGCCAAACATCTCTAATGACTGTGAGAGGAAAAATAAGTTTCTTGAAGAGAAAGGAGTAACTACCCACCTGAAAGCTGAGGCTCAGTCGACTCAGCAAAACCACTCCCTTAACATCGGCGGCGGCATATTCTAAAAACTTACCTCTGCAATTAGATCACCCTCACTGATTTTTTCCCCTTCTTTTTTTTCCCAGCGGGCTATAGTGCCTGCCTGCATCGTAGGGGAAAGGGAAGGCAATGGAACCTGCGGGAGAAAAAGCGGCACCATTGAAACAGGGACACTTAACTCTCGGTGTGGTTTAGAGTTTCATTCCATTCAATTCCATGCAAAGAATTTACTGAGTCCCGTTACGAACTGGACCCTGGGGATACAAGGGGAGTTCGTGCCACCCAGAAGTTCATGACTTTCAAAAGTGGCAGGTGGATCCTCCAGTCGGTCTAGTGGATCTGAGACGGCGCCGCGTGAGAATCCAGACCTTTTGCATATAGCCCCAGGCTTGAAGCTTTTCTTTCAATGGAAGAGATCCCTACTGGGGAAGGTCTTGGGCAAGGCAGTAATAGATCCTGAAGGGAGCTGGCTCACAGAGGCCTCTCAAGGAGGATTTCCCCCACGCCAAGGAACCGCCGGCTCTGAAGGACACCGGGGTCTGGGGTGGAGCACTCACCTTCTGGTGCGGGGGGAGGCAGTAAGAGCGACGGCCCGGAGACCCCAGGAGCTGCCGCAGTAAGCGGTTACGCGGCGCAGTGTCCCAGCCGGAGCTCCAGCCGCACAGCAAGCGGACCCCATAGCTCGGGGTCCCGGTGCTGCCACGAGCCGCGGCGGAGCCGGCCCGCGGGCTCCCGCATGGGGCCCCGGGGCCTTCCTTCAAGACTGCCCACCGAGCCCCGAGTTCGGCCCTGGGCACTGCACTCCGCGCCCGCCGCGCACAGACGCGCCACATACTGCCACCGACCCCCACGCCCCAAAAGCTCCGCCGTCTCCGGAGTGACCTCTCCAAGAGCACCGCGGCTCTGCCGTCAGCCGCGCCCTACGGTCGCGCAATGTCGTAAAAGCGGTTCCTTGGACGGGCAGCCGGAACGCACGGCGTCCGCGCCTCTCTGCGGGGAACCGGTCTGGGGCACCCAGAAAGGACCCCGGCCGCAACTTAGGGTCTGCTGGGACCGAGGGGCTTCGAGGCAGTCGCGGGCAGCGCACGTTGGGAAAGGATCAGGGGTGTGGGTGGCCCGAGGAGAGGTGTCGCAGAGGATGGGACGCACGGCCGGCTCTAAGGTGGTGGCCTAAGGGACGGGAGTGTCGGACCGGCTGAAGCCTGCGCTCAGGGAGGCGGTGCCAAAGGGAACACCCTTCTTTGCTTTCAGAGAAAGCTGGGGAACGAGCCTGGGCCGACAATAATCCAAAGCTTTAGGTCAGTGGTTGTGGTCTGGAAACGAACCGCCCAAAGTTGGAGGGAGAAAGGCCCGCGAGTGACCTCCGGGGTTCCGGGGTCGTCCCTTGGCTGCAGACCCCGCCCCTTGCAGGCTGTCCTAGGTTGAAAAGATTTCAGGTCCCTAACCCCCTCGAAATGGAAGCAACAGGGTTTTCAGCCAAATGGTAAGAAGGGCGGCCAAGAGGAAGGTACATTTTCACATTTCGAGTTTGTCTCAGAGGACTAATTATGTTCGCTATATAAAAATACTTGTTTGCGAAAACGGTTATATTACCCCCAAATTACCACCGTATCCTCTTAAATAACGAAAAGATTTAAGAAGCACAGCGGACATGGAGGCGCACGCCTTTAAAAACAGCATTCCAGAGGCGAGAGGCAGGTGGCTCACTTAAGTTCAGGCCAGCCTGGTCTATATAGCAAGTTTCAGACTAGCTTGGGCTACATACTGAGACCCTGTCTTTAAAAAAAGAAATTAAGATACAACTTTGCAAAATGCATTGTCCGGCCATTCTGCAGTTGTGTGAACTCAATAGAAAAAGGTTTCTTAAACTGTGGAGTAACGAGGTGAGGGTCAAAATAAAGAAAAAAAAAATGGCAACAGTGAAAAGTTTCCGACACAACTACCCAAACCTAGGTTGTTTCTCGCTACTGTTGCCTACTCTGCACGTCACCGCGTCACGGCAGCCTTGGCTCTGAGAACACCGGCACTTTGCACTGCCATGACCTCGGGGTCACTCACGGCCAGCCAACACTGCTTGAAACACTTTGGCACAGATTCATCATGTATGCTATGATTCGCACCGGTTTTACGGTACGGTTTTCTGCTCTTACGTGAACATAATGGTTTAATTACAGAAAACAAAGACATTCTTGCACAGTTATTCTTTAGCGTGTAAAAATTATTGTAGTCTATCTCTGGATTGGATGCGTAGACTATTTGAATTTTAAACTTGCTGTAGCTGGTTTGAGTTTGAGATTAGGACAGAATTTCCAGTAATTTCTGGCATGTCCTTAAATACAGGTTTTATGTTGTATGTTTTTAATTTTTTTATTACATTTATTTTCTGTGTGTGTGTGTGTGTGTGCCAGTGCACTTAACCTCTGAGCCATCTCTCCAGCTCCGCACTGAGCTATCTTGCCAGCTCATGTGCTATGTATTTATATGAAGCAACATTCTCAGTATTGACAATCATAAATCAAAATATTAATCCACTCTGAAAAATGTTGATACTCTGTATTGCAGTAGCATATATTCAGCCAAGATTTAACTCTTCTTCTCTTGCACATCACCCTTCATTGCAGCACAGTTCACACACAATCCCTCATTTATAGGACTAAAAAGTCTGTGTCCATCCTAAAGGAATGGCTAACTAAAATGTGGTATATACACAGTGTAACTTTTTCAGTCACAGATAATGGAGTTTTGTCATTCACAACATGGATGCAACTTGATGAAGCAAATTAACTCAGTCTTGGAAAGGTAAATGTTGTATATTTCCTCTCATTTGTGAACCCAGACTTTATATGCAAAATCATATACATATGGGTGAGACAGCCAGTGGGGTAAAGGTGCTTGCCACTAAACTTGGTGGTTTAAGTTCTATCCTTGGAATGCACATAGTCAAAGAGAACAGACTCTCAAAAACTGTCCTCTGACCACCTTCATATGTGTGCCCTGGACACACACACACACACACACACACACACACACACACACACACACACTAAATAAATGTAGTATAGGTGAGAAATAATATTTAGGTGATGGGACTTTAAAATGGTTTCACTTATCCTTTAAAAACTTCATACACATACATGATGTGTTTTATAAATTTAATTCTGTATGTCAAAACAAAGAACATCTAATTATATAGAAATTTGATTTCACCTTTAATGACCGGTGAAACTGCCGAAGAATTGTTTTTAAATAAATTTATTATTTAATAAATGTTTCGTTTGTAACTTTGTATACCTCTATACCTGGGGATCATGTGAAAATTCCTCACAGGAGTAGGAAACACAAGCAGAAGAAATTCAAGACACCCTGTCGTAGAAATGATTGCATCCACTCGAACAGTGGTGGCTGCAGTGCCACTGAGCAACACAAACACTTGGTGACTAACCTTGGGGGGGGGCGGGGTCACCTTTGTATGCTGTACAGGTCATTAACAAACCATCATTATGTGGCCCATTTTATTTTACAGCAAAACCAATCTGCTAGGCAGTTCAGAAATCTATTGTTTTGTTTCTCATTGCCTTCTGAGTTAGTATAGTAATATCAGTTCCACGTGCATGACTTTTGAGTTACTATCGACTAACGATTTTATGTGCAACGTTTATTAAATAAACATCCATTGTATGGCCATACAGTTAGAAAGCCTCATTTCTGAGCTGAAGGTGAATTGGATTAGGAAGAAGCATGTGCTGTATGTACACTGTTTCCTCGTTGTACAGATGGTCAGAGAACACCAAGAACGCAGGAAGAAATTGGGAAAAAAGCCAAACTGATAACCAGCGTGGTGGTGCATGACTGTTCTGGTGCTGTGTGGCCAGCCTGGGCTACCTACATAGACTCTACCTTAAAAAAAAATGTTTTTGTTTGTTTGTTTGTTTGTTTGTTTGTTTGTTTTTAAAAATCCTAGCCCTTGAGACACAGAGGCAGGTGGATCTCTGTGATTTCCAGGCCAGACTGACTAGTCTACATAGCAAGCTCCAGGCCAGCCAAGTCTACATAGTCAACAAAAACAAAGTTGAAAGTATGTAATCAGAAGCCAAGTGAAAAAAGCACTCAGAGCTAAAGATCAAAACACATCAAACATTTAAATCAATAACATTAGTGATAAATGAAGCCTGCTTGAATTTGGGGGAGGTGGCCTTTAAATTGATTTGTGAACTCTGATTCTTTTAATCATTAATTTCTGGGCTGGGGTGGTAGTCCATGCCTGTAGTCCTAGCTACTCCAGAGGCTGAAGGAAAATGATTAATCATCTGAATCTATCAGTTTGGATAACATAGTGAGATGCTGTCTCAAAATAGAAAGATAGATAAATATGTATTTCTGGCTGGAGTCTTGAGTGGCTCAGTGGGAGAAAGCATGCTTAGCCTGCACAGGGACCAGGATCCAGTCTTCTGAAACTAACACTTCTGAACTAATTAGGGTTCACACTGCTTTTGAAGATTAATATTATAGAGTTTATGCTCTCAGGTTCTCCTGTGTCTGTATATTTACATATGATTTCAAAATAGGTGCAAAACTAGCTAATCATTTTTTATAATAATCTATCTTGTACTTACGTTAGAAATACCAACAGTAAAATATCTCTAGCAATAAAACAATCCTTATCTCCACCCTCCTGATAATGAGTAAACATGCTACCAGGGAGATCACTTGAGGAAATTTACCTTCACTAAATGTAAATGGCTTTACTGTCTGACCTCAGTTAAGAGACGTAAATGAAAATGATGAAGTGGATTTAGTTTGTAAACTCCATTTTATTCGTAGTGTGTGTATGTGGTTTTGACTTGTTCACAATTCTGGTACATACAGGCAGTTAAAACTGCTACCACTTCGATGATCAGAAACCTCTCGCATAACAAAGTTTTTGTGAAGACACTGTAAAACAGAACACACAGTAGTAATCTCTGAAAGCAGTGGTTACAAACGTCCATGTTTCTAAGAAAATAGAACTTTATATATATGTAGTTTAAGCAAGCTATTCCTCTTAACAAGTTCAACAAAAAAGAGTGTGCAGTCACGATGCTTATGAGTAAAAGTGAAAATTTCAATTATAACCAGAATGCTTTTCAGTAATCAAGTACTCTTGAATTGGATGTAAAACATAAAGATCTTTTCCCATTTACATCCCAGACAAAAGACCTGAAAAGTTGGTAAGGAGCGTTACTGTTGCCAAATGTATTTAACCCATACTTCCATTTCTTTCTTCCTTTTAATCCAAACACAGATCTCATTATGTAGCCCAGGCTGACAAAAACCTGGTAATCCTCCTGCCTTAGCCTCCCAAATGCTGGAATTACAGGCATGTATCTATCACCAGGTGGAAGTTTTAGCTACAAACTGTAAAGTGTTCCAACCCAGATGATTTAGGGACTTGAGCCTGAAGAGGGTACTCTTCAGTTTTTAAATAACTAAATTAGCACTTATGAGGTCTTTTTTAAGATTTATTTTTGTTTTTAATTGTGTGTATACAGGTGTGTGTGTGTGTGTGTGTGTGTGTGTGTGTGTGTGTAGGTACATTTCTGCACATGAGTATATTTGTTTTGGGTTTTTGTTGTTTTCAAGACAGGGTCTCACTATGTAGTCCTTGCTGTCCTGGAATTGACTCTGTAGTCCAGGGTGGCCTCAAACTCAGAGATCCAGAGATCCACCTGCCTCAGCCTCCCCGGTGCAATGGCAGGATGGACCGGCTCACACCAATACCATTAGGGAACAATATATTTAATCCACAAGTTCTCTTAGAGCAGTGGTTCTCAACCTTCCTAATGCTGTGACCCTTTAATAACTTCCTTATGTTGTTGTGACCCCCATACATAAAATTATTTTCCTTGCTACTTCATAACTGTAATTTTGCTACTGTCATGAATCTTAATGTAAATCTCTGTTTTCTGATGGTCTTAGGCGACCCCATGTGAAAGGGTCATTCAACCCCCAAAGGGGTCATGACCCACAGATTGAGAACCACTGCCCTGGAGCATAGCCAAACAGGAGATTATTCCAAACAGAAGGAATTCATGCTTGCTCCTGCTCTCCAGCATTATGGACTGGAATGAGGATCCCTGGCCCAGAATGTACAGGAATTAATAAATACATCTTCCAGTGAAGATGCTTGGCCATTTTGCCCATGGTACATGAGATTAGTGAACTACATTGTCCCCTACATTCAACCTCTGCTTTTTATGTAGGCACTAAGATCACGTGGCTCCTTTTCCAAAAAGAGATAAAAATAAAACACAATATAGAGGACTTCGAAGCTTTTTCTCTGATTTAATTTTTGCTGAAAAGTTAATTCCACATAATGTTAAGACTGTTTGCTGAAAGAAAATGGACAAGGGATATCTGGTTTAAGAGACAGACATTCAAGGTAAGTTGTACTTGGACTACAGTAACGAAGTTTAGCCTGGTCACCTTCATGCTGTCAAATAGCAAACATTAAAATTCATGCAACAGAGAAATTGGTGATGTACGGACTTTTATCCCTCCAGTCATCTTGAGAAAAAATGTGGAAATAATACTGTTTTCTTCTGTTGGCGTTCACAATGAGTTGTTCTTGCCTATGGCTGACTTTCCTGAACTTTCCTAGTTATAGCTGATGAAAAATTGTTCTTCAATAGAAGACCAGGGTAGTGTGCATGAAAGACTTTCTTTTTGAAAGGTCCTTGATCTCATGTCTTTTAGAAGAGCAATCAACTAGATTAAAAAAAAACAAACCCTCCAGCACTAAAACAGCAAGGAGAACTGGACAGGAATGGACTGCCATTAGTATACTCGTAACAAAATAAAGCTTGTTCTGAAACCACAAGAGGCGGTAAGAAGAGACTGTAGAAAAGCTATTGGGCACTCTAGAAAATGGGCAGGGTACAGGGAATGTGAGAATACACAGAAGTCACACGAGTTATAAAAATAGACATGGTTCTCAGGCAAAAGCAAATGAGCACCAAACAATTCTCAAACATGAACTATTTTTAAAAGACATGTCTATATAAAACAATAAGATGTTATCTCAGCGTTCCCAAGAGTAGTCTGTTCAAATGGCTGAAAATGAGTGACAGACAGAGACAGGCAGATCCCAGGACTGACGGACCCATCTGTCCCACTGTTCTGTTTGGCAGTATACAGGGGTGGTTGCAGACCGCTTTGAGGGACTTCTATAAATAGATAATCATGGCTGATGGGTGGATGGTGCTAGGTGTGTGAATGAGAAAACCCAAGTTATTGAGTAACCTCTGGAAACTGAACTCTTTATCGTCTAAACTGGACAGTGTTGCAATATGAAATGACTCTTGACCTTGATTCAACCCTGCCACTCACAACTCATGCTCCATGCCCCGTGGGTTCCATTGTGCCCTAAAGGAACAGCCCAGACTAAGCATGTAACAGAAAACAACTCCAGCCTTGAAAAACAGAAAACTCCAGACCAGTAAATCATGCTGGTGCTCAAATCACAAACACAAATTAATGGTCTGTCTCCTTGCAAATGCAAAGGAGATGCTGTGCATTTGTCACAGAGAAGTGGTAGCAGCACCTTTCCATACCCTCCTGGATGCTCCAGGAGCCTCTCGCTTCTAATTCTTTTCAAGCACAAAGTTCATCTGTGTGGAGAAAAAGAAATGGCTCTGAAGTTAAAGAGTCCCCAGGGAAAACCGGCAGTTTGTGAGGAAAAAAAATGCCCAAATGGGCGAAGGACAAGCTGCAGAAGAGTCAGAACCAGAAGAGGTGGTCCAAGGTCTTCATTATGGTTTTGGCATAGTATAGCACACTATGGGCAACCCTCTCCCCACCCAATCAACAAGTCAGCATCATCCACATCCAAGGTCAACAGATGCAAGTGGGCTTTCATCTTTGGTACCACTTGAGTTACTCCTGGGCTGCAACATCTGCAGAGAAGCAGAAAAGTCGGTACCTTTGCCTTGTCTGTGAGCACAAATGCTGGGACTCTGATTGCTGCAACCATCGAGGCCAATGGAATGAACACTGTACCATAAAGGAGAGATGCATCCACTTCCGGGTTCCAGATAATAGCAGCCAGGCCCCTACAAGAGAGGGATCATCCACCCCTGGTGGTTAAGGCCTTCGGTTTGGTGTCCTCAGAGTAGAATAAAACACTGTTCCCACGGACAAGGAGCTCCAGATGGACCCATGGTCTGTGTTTGGACAGAGACTTTAAGTACTAGATATGCCCGGCACACCAACAGGACTGGCCTGTAACCATCATACTTGAAGAAGCTTCTTTTTGGCAGCAGGAATTAGAAACTTCTCAGCGTACTCTGGTATTAGTCGTCTTTCCTGAGAGAAGCAGCCAGGGAGTGTCCGGGGTCCGGTTAATTCTCTCTATGGTCTTCTTCCACCCAGGCCACAATTTTCCCTTCCCATCCAGGGATGGCATCGTCATCATGGAAAACCTAGGTTAAAAAAAAAAAAGCCACAATGGAAAAATACAGCCTGGAATGTGGTGCGTACCTATAACTGGAGTGCCCAGCAGGCTGAGGCAGGAGAGTAGCTATGAGTTCCAGGCCAGGCTGGGTCACAGTGTGATACGCTGCCTCAGCAGAACAGAAACTACAGAGTGAAGTAACAGAGTCACTTAAACAACACTACTGGTGAAAAGGAGAGCTAAGGGCTGGTGGGGTGGCTCAGTGGATAAAGACATTGTCACAGAGCCGAATGACCTGAATTCAATGACAGGACTCACAGGGTGGGAAAGAGAATCAACTCCTGACTCCACAAGTTCTCTCTGACTTGGAGAACAAACACACACAAATATTCTTTAAGATTTACTTTCAATTACATGTATGAGTGTGTGTAGTTATATGCATGTGTGTGTAGGTATGTGCATATGCGTACAGATGTCTGGGAAGCCAAAAGCATTGGGTGCCCTGGAGCTGGAGTTACAGGAGGTTGTAAGCCACTTGATACGAGTGCTGGGAATCCAACCTGGGTCTTCTATAAGAGTATGCACACTCATGGCCGATATGTAAAATTAAATTAATTATAAAATAAAAATATTTTTTAAAAAAGAGTATGCACTTTTTTTTTGTTTTTTTGAGACAGGGTTTTGCTGTGTAGTTTTGGTGCTTGTCTTGGATCTTGCTCTGTAGATCAGGCTGACCTCGAACTCAGAGATCTGCCTGGCTCTGCCTCCCAAGTGCTGGGATTAAAGGCATGCACCACCACTGTCAGGCCAAGAGTATGCAATCTTAACACTGAGCCATCTTTCCAGCCCCACACAAAATTTTTAATATAATAAAAAAAATCTAAAAAATAAGACATTAAGCATTAAGGATAAGAAAGTATAAAAGAATTAATTAGGCTATGTCTTTGTTTCTATCCTTTGAAACTATATATATGTGTGTGTGTATACATATATATGTTTGTGATATATGATACATATATATCATACATATAACACACACACACACACACACACACATATATATATATATATGTTCTAATTTTGGGAGATAAAAACACTAACACTATTTCATTCATGGATATTTGATATTTATAAGAACAGTAAATTACAATCCACAAAGTACTTTGGCCTTCCTAGGAGAAAGCAATAGCATGTGTGTTTAAAGAACAAGAAAGGAGACCATTTTGGTACCAGGCATATAGAAAGGGGTAGAAAGAAGACTGGGGGCTGGAGATGGCCCAGCAGTTAAGAGCACTGGTAACCCCCTAGTTCAATTCCTAGCACCCACATGGTGACTCATAACCACTTGTGACTCCAGTTCTAGGGAATCTGACACCATCTTCTGGCCTATTTGGGCACCAGGCAGGAATGTGGGGCACACACATACATGCAAGTAAAACAAATATACACATTAAAAATAAATGTTAAAAGATTTCAACTTTTTTCTATACTATAATCACAATGAAGGCATTTTTGATAATACATCAGAACCCAGAAATTTCTTGTCCAAAGAAGGTTATATTTGGAAAATGGATGATGAGGAGAAGCATAGGCTGAGAAAATATCAAGGGTTAGTGTCTTAGTTAGGGTTTCTACTGCTGTGAAGAGACACCAAGACCACAGCAACTCTTATAAAGGAAAACATTTAATTGGAGTGCTGTGTTTACAGTTTTAGAGGTTTAGTCCGTTATCATTATGGTGGAGAGCATGGCAGCATGCAGGCAGACACGGTGCTGGCTACATCTTGATCAGAAGGCAACAGGAAGTGGTTGTAACACTGAGCAAAGCTTAAGCAAACGAGAACTCAAAGCCTGCCCCCACAGTGACACACTTCCTTTGACAAGGCCACACCTCCCAACAGAGCCACTCCCAATGAGCTTTTTTTGTTGTTGTTGTTTTTGTTTTGTTTTGTTTTTGTTTTTTGAGACAGGGTTTCTCTGTGTAGCTTTGCGCCTTTCCTGGATCTCGCTCTGTAGACCAGGCTGGCCTTGAACTCACAAATATCCGCCTGCCTCTGCCTTCCGAGTGCTGAGATTAAAGGCGTGCACCACCACCGCCCAGCAAGCCTATTTTTTGACAGCTGCTGAGAGACATGGGATTGTAAGAGGAACTGCTGAATTAAACCAAGCCTGGAGAGTTTAGGAATGCCTTAACTTTAAAATGAAAGTCAGAAAATGTATTGCTTTGGGGAAGAGGTTATGCTTTTGTTTTCACAGAAAACAAAAGGCTATAATTTCATTCAAGGTTGGTAGAGATCAGATTTGATCAGGGGAGACCCCCCTAAAAATCCTGGCTACAGACATAAAAAAAATAAACCTAGAAAAACTACAAGACAGGTGACATATATTTTACGTGCTCAAACAAAAGACAAAAAAATCATCCCTGGCTGGCTTGTGTACAACACATAGTCCATACTTATGCTAATACAGATATGTATGTTACCTTTGAAAGTTTGTGTGTTTTCAGAGGAAGGGAACCAGACACCAATGAAAATGGGTGGCCCAGGGGATCTAGCCTTTCAGAGTGTCTCTGTTGCAATTTCCTCAGAGTTCTACATCTAAAACAGTTTCAAGGCTGCTGACTGAGATGGTCCAGCCTCACAGACTATTCTAGCCAGGACTGCAGATAAGCCTTGTGCTTTCCCATTGCACAGACACTGGACAACAAATGTTACTGCTAGCTCTCCCAGGACTTGACCATTATCCTAATTTTCTCAGGGTCCCCAAAGATGCCATCACCACCAGACAACAGGAAACAGTCTAGAGAATATGATGCTTATATTCCCAAGAGGTGGGGTGGGTGGTTTTTGGTCATTCAATAGGTTATGAATGTTTCTCATGGTTTTGAAGGGTTGGTTTCAAATTGTTATTGGTCATGGTCAGGAAAAAAGCAGAACAAAGGAGATTAGATTCAGGGATCTATTTCTGAAGGCAAAAAGGGGGAAATGTCGTAGAATAATCTTTTTGTACACTGTAAAGATGTGACTTTGCCAAGGTGTCTTCTGACTGGTTTAATAAAGAACTAAATGGCCAATAGCTTTGACAAGAAGAGGTTAGGTGGGACTTCCAGGCAAAGAGTGGAGAAGAGGAGATAAATCGAGGCATGGAAGGAATGTCAGAGGACACAGAGAAAAACAGGAAGTACAAGATAAAAGAGAGGTTTAAAAGCCACAAAACAAAATGTAGATTAATAAAAATGGGTTAATTTAAGTTATAAGAACTAGTGGGACAAGCCTAAGCTATAGGCCGGACTTTCATAATTAATAGTTAAGTCTCCATTTTGTTTTTTTGTGAGGTGTCAGTCCAAAAAAAAAAAAAAATCTGCCTACCTGTGGTAGCAGAAGTTGTTACAGTTTGTGAGAATTTGGAACCCAGTGTGCCATCTTTGGCCATGGAGCTACACTGAGGCCAAGCATTTTCAGTAAGACAGCAAGGCTTTAAGAAAATCTCTTGAGTCCGAGAAAGGAATTGCGTCCAAGGAGAAAAGGAGGAAGGGGCAAGGAAAGGGTGGCAGACTCAGGAGCATGCGGGCAGCTCCTCGGGGGAGGTGAGGAGGTTCCAGGGAGGAGCTGAGGAGCCACGAGGGAGCAGAGGGATAAGTGTCCTGGTAACACGAATTTCAATCCAAGGTGTCCCCAAGTGGACTGAGAGCCATGTCAGAGGAGAGGTGTCCCTTTCCACGTGATGTGAGAGAAGCTTCCTGGCACACCAGTGCGGCTTTTATAGTAAAAGGAGACAAATCCCAGAACTCCATAGTGACACTTACCCAGAAAAAGGGGAGAGACAAGTGGTTAGAGCAGGCAGAGGAGAAAACAGCTGGAGAGGTGCAAGTGTCTTAGCAGGTAGAACTGCCCACGTGGTAGGGCCCTGAAGGGCATTGCAGGGAGGATCCCCACGTGGTGGGCAGCGCAAAGACTGTAGCAGGGATATGCCTACGTGGTGGGCAGTGCAAAGACTGTAGCAGGGATATGCCTACGTGGTGGGCAGTGCAAAAAGGAAGAGAAGACACTGACTGCGTAGAGGAGGAGAGATGGATGGTTAGTTAAGGTGGAGGGAAGAAGCGGCGGAAGAGGCAGACTCTAGAATCAGATGTGGTGGGTGACAAAAGCCGGCAGAATCAAAGGATCCAGACATACCTTAGGAGAGTCAGAGCTGCAGCTTGATTCAGAGTGGCTGAGAGGTCCTTGGAGAGGGAACTCATTAAGCCACTCATGCAGTTCCAGCACCAGATGAAGAAAAAAAGAAAAAAAGAAAGAAAGAAAGAAAGAAGGGAGGGAGGGAGGAAAGAAAGAAAGAAAAGAAAGAAAGAAAGGAGGGAGGGAGGGAGGAAGGAAGGAAGGAAGGAAGGAAGGAAGGAAGGAAGGAAAGAGAGAAAAGGACACGACTGCTCCTAGGTATGGTGGAGGATTCAGTTTATTATAGGCATTTGGGAGAGCATAGTCAGAGTCAGGGACATCTGGGAGAGTCCAGAGTGGACACCAGACTGACCTGTGGGAGAAGCGGGGGAAGGGACAGGGGAGAGAGGGGAACCAGGTGCAGCAGCCAGGAGGACAAAGATCCAAAAGGGGTGGGTAACCAAAATGTCCAGATTAGGGAAGAGCCTCTGGGGGAAGGGCAGTCCAGGCCCTGGGCTGGAGAGTTCAGGGTAGTGGGCAGGGTATGCCAGCCATTCCCTGTAACAGGTAGGGACTGAGGGATGCTGGGAGAACCTGGTAGACTGATCCAACTTTGACATGTTAAATAGGCACCTGGGCTGTTTTTCTGGGTTTGAAACTTAATAGCAAGAAGTTTTCTAAGGGCTGGTGAGGTGGCTCAACAGATAAGGACACTTGTCATCAAGTCCCACACCCTGAGTTTAACCCCCTGGACTCACACGGTAGAAGGAGAGATCAATTCCTGCAGGTGTCTTCTGACCTCTACAAGTGCACGCATAACCATCCACTCCCACACACAGTAAGTAAATAAATATAAAGGACAGTGAAGTTTCATGACAACTGGATACAGATAGATAACGTTGCTTATGGTCTTGGATTTTGTGTGTATGGGACAGTAAATGCAAGTCCCTGCCCCTTGTCTTAGGGTTTTTACTTAACCTAACAGTATTCTTTCTTTTTTAAAGTAAAAATTCTATCAAAGTTTTTAGTAAAAAGTGATCAGTTCTTGGAGTTAGAGAGATGGCTCAGTGATTAAGAGCACTGGCTACTCTTTCAGAAGACCCAGGTTTGATTCTTAGCACCTACGTGGCAGCTCACAATTGTCTATAAGTCCAGTTCCAAGGGATCTAACACTGTCTTCTGGCCTCCCTGGGTACTTATATGTGGTCCACAGGCATACATACAAACAAAACACCCATGCACAAAAAATAAAATACAATGTTCAGTCCTCTAACTAACAAAGCTGTCAGCATCACGGGCCATTCTATGGAATTTAAAGCAACTGGTTCATGGACATGGAACCTCTCATAATTCCTGGGCTTCTTCAGGGGAACTGTGGTGGTTTGAATAGGAATGGCCCCTACAGGCTCATATGTTTGAATGCTTAGTCATCAGGGAGTGGCACTACTTGGAAGGGATTAGGAGGTGTGGCCTTGTTGGAGTAGGTGTGGCCTTGTTGGAGGAAGTGTGTCACTGGGGGTGGGCTTTGAGGTTTCAAGAGTCCAAACCAGGCCCAGTGTCTCTCTCTCCCTGCTGCCTGCAGATCCGCATGTAGAACTCTCAGCTACTTCTCCGGTACCACGTTTCCCGCCATGATGATATCGGACTAAACCTCTGAAGCTGTAAGCAAACCCCAATTAAATGTCTTCTTTATAAGAGTTGCCGTGGTCATGGTGTCTCTTCACAGCAAGAGAGCAAAAGAGCTAGTTCAGGAGTGACCAGTAATACTCCCCCAACTGCCCGTGGATCCTTTACCTCTTCTTTGACAGTGCCAAACTCAGGATCCAGTGCTTTGAAGTGGTACCGGTGATTCCCTTCTCGATCAATAGCTGCTTTAAAATCCTTCAGTGTCACCTCCCCCAACCTGTAACAAAAGAAGAGTGTACCAAAATAGCTTGTTAATCAATAGGCTGGAAAGATAATGTGTTAGCTTTAAACCCAGGCTTCCGCCAAAGTCAACAGGCAGAGATAGCACGGCTTTAATACTAGGTCACCACGGCTCCTGATGACCAATATCACTAAAATACCAGAGGTTGGGCAACCAGTCACCACTAGGAATGAGCATGGCATTATACATCAGGTGATCAGAGAACTTGAATTCATTGTTTTTGCTGTTTTTAATCTGAAAATAAGGTATTAAAAATAAAATTTGTGAAATAACCATAAATTCACCTAAGTTTTCTCTGTTTCTCCCATGAGATAACAGTCCAGTTTTCTTAGGCTGATAAAATTAAATTCAGCAGGTGGGATTTTGTTTGGTTTTGTTTTGACGGGGTCTCACTCTGTAGCCCAAACTTGCCTTGACTTGGCTATGTAACCTAAGGTGACTTCAAATTCACAGTCCTGGTTTAGGCCTCCCAGGTGCTAAGATTACAGGTATGTGCCACCCAGCTCAAGGATCCGCAATTCCTCTGTGTTTAGAAAGCTTGCTTCTACCCAGTCCAGTCCAAATGAGCAGACTCCAAGAGAGGAGGACCTCAGAGCCTCTCGGTAGTTGGTTTGATTGCTTAAGCAGTGCAAGGCAAGCACATTACTACTGAGGTACGGCCCCTGCTCCCTTACAGTGTATTTATTTCACTGGGAGGAAACATATTGAACTGAGTTTCTGGAACATTTTCCACATACATTCTTACAGGCACGAGTTGCCTTTGTCACACAGTAATATGACTAAGAGGTCATGGCTACCAGAAGGAGCTGCTTTGAACACTTAAAAGAACAAGCTTTTCCAAACCCGGAGTATATTTGTATAGCTATCAGGACAAGAAGTACTGTTCCTGTGGGGCCAGGTGTGGTGGCACATGCCATTAGTGTAGGGAGGCAGAGGCAGGTGGATCTCTGCGAGTTCAAGACCAGACTAGACTGATCTACACAGTGAGTGCAGGCTGGCCAGAGCTGCAAAAGGAGACACCATCTCAACAAACTAAAACAAAACAACACACGACTATTCATTCCTGTGCCTCGAAGTAGATCCTGCTTGTCCTCTATAATGCCACTGGTTGCCAGGTATGGTGGCACACACCTTTAATCCCAGCACTCAGGAGGCAGAGGCAGGAGGATCTCTATCACCTGGAGGCCAGCCTGGTCTACATAGAGATTTCCAGGCCAGTCAGGGCTACATAGTAATATTTTGTCTCAAAAAAACCAAAAACCAAACCAAACCAAATCAAAACCTGCCAAGCCAGAACTAGAACCTCTAGGTCCTGGGCTCTTCCTGCCACACAAGCTGCTCATCTGGCAGTAACTGATTCTTTCTTTTCTTTTCTTTTCTTTTCTTTCTTTCTTTCTTTCTTTCTTTCTTTCTTTCTTTCTTTCTTTCTTTCTTTCTTTCTTCCTTCCTTCCTTCCTTCCTTCCTTCCTTCTTTTTCTTCTTCTCTCTCTCTCTCTTTCTCTCTCTCTCTCTCTCTCTCTCTCTCTCTCTCTCTCTCTCTCTCTCTCTTTCTCTCTCTCTCTCTCTCTCTCTCTCCTGGGCTCTTCTTGCCACACAAGCTGCTCATCTGGCAGTAACTGATTTTTTCTTTCTTTCTTTCTTTCTTTCTTTCTTTCTTTCTTTCTTTCTTTCTTTCTTTCTCTCTCTCTCTCTCTCTCTCTCTCTCTCTCCTCCTCCTTCCTTCCTTCCTTCCTTCCTTCCTTCCTTCCTTCTTTCTTCTCTCTCTCTCTCTCTCTCTCGTTGTTGTTTTTTTTACAGTGAAATAATGACTTGAGCACCTCACCTCTTTGGTATATTGACCATGAAGGGCGTGAGTGACCGGTCAGTGAAGTAGAGCACTTTGGTGCAGGTGCTGCTGACGGACGGAGAACTCTGGGAGTGAGGCAACGCTGCAATCAGAGACTCTGGTCAGAACATTCGATTTGATCCAAACTGTTCCTCCTTTCGTTTACTCAAAACGTCTCAGGAGGCTGAAGCTGCTGGAGGTCACAGCTCCTCCATCAGCCTCGCCAAGCACTATGTCCACAGAGGATGGTTTATGATCACCACGAGGACAGGAGATGCCTTGGGCATGGACATCATCCTGGGAACCTCATTCCCCAGGCATTCCAGGGATTTCTGGCAGAGGAATACCTGCTCTGACAGTGCTGTTGCTCAAGATCAAGAGGTCAGAATACTGCCTGGCCAGAATTCAGGGGACTCAGAGTAGACACCCGGCAGGACCTACAAACTGTCTACATTCAGATTTTGGAATAAGAATACCCACGTGATTTGTGTGTGTGTTGGGGGGGGAGGAGAACAATGGAAGAAAACCCAGAGATAGAGTACTTCAGTCTACAAAGTACAAGACCTTCCACATGGACTGGCTCTGTCCTGTGTGTGTGTGTGTGTGTGTGTGTGTGTGTGTGTGTGTGTGTGTGTGTGTGTTTTTCTTTTAGACAGAGTCTTACTATGTAGCTCTGTCTGGCCTAGAACTCATGATATAGACCAAACTGGCCTTGAACTCAGAGATCTACCTGCCTGCCTCTGCCTCCAGAGTGCCTGGTTTAAAAATGTAGGCCACCACACCTAGCCTCCTGTGTGATTTTTTTTTTGAAATTGTATTACATTTATTTTAGTGTAGGTGTGTGTGGAGATCAAAGGACAACTTTTAGGAGTCAGTTCTCTCCTTCCACAACATGAGACCGAGGATTACACTCAGATGGTCAGGCTTGTCAGTGAGTGCCTTCACCCACTGAGCCAGCTCGCCAGCCCCTAAAAATATGTCTTTTGGGGGAAAAAAAAACCCCTAAAATATTCTACTACATGATATAGATGATTCTGGTAACATCCATCCAGTTACCAAACAGGATCTGTACTAATAACTAATGGTGGAAACAATCAGAACAAACAAATCAAACATATGTATAATTCCACTATGCTTCTGGCACTAAACAGGATCTGTACTAATAATCAATATGATAAAACAATCAGAACAAACAAATAAAACACATATAATTCCACTATGCTTCTGAATTAAACAGGATCTGTACTAATAATATGGTAAAACAATCAGAACAAACAAATCAAACACATAAATAATTCCACTGTGCTTCTGGAACTTGGTGCATTGTCAACCTCCACCTTCTAAAACACAACTTAGAGTCAACAGCTGTCAGAGAGAAAGGAAGAGGAAGAGGAGGAGGAAGAGGAAGCAGGAGGAATTCTAGGAAAAAATATGCATGCCAAACTCCAAACACCTTCATAAGAAAGGAATTTTGGACTTTGCTATTTTTATTATTACTTTGCTAAACAGACTTGGTTATTGAGCCTCTCCATTTATATGAAGATATGTGTAAATTTTGAATGTACAAAAATGTTAAAATACAATAAAGTACCAGGAAATATGTGTTAAAAATAAGAGTTGGGGGACTGGAGAGTTGGCTCAGTGGTTAAGAGCACTTGGCTGCTCTTGCAGAGGACCCAGGTTCCCATAACCCACATGGTTACTCATACCCTTATTCCTGTTCCAGGGGTTCTGATGCCCTCTTCTGGCCTCCAGAGGCACTGCACCCATATGGTATGCATAGATGCAGGCAAACAAAATACAGAGAAGGGCATGGTGGTGTGCACCTTTAATTCCACCACTTGGGAGGCAGAGACAGGCAGACCTCTGTGAGTTCAAGACAGCCAGGGCTACATAGTGAGACCCTGTCTTAAAACAAACAAACAAAAAACCTTCATGTCATTCTCTCCATTTTAAGCAGGTTAAACTGCTTTCTTCTGTGTCATGGAGACTATGGAGTGGAGCAGCCATGTCTTGTAATCCTTCTAGTACCCTCCTTAAGCTTCTAGATCCCTAGCATGTCCCAGTCCCAAAGCAGAGGCTGGCAAAGGACTCAATTCCTAAATTTTGCTATAAAAATTCCTTTAGAACCTTCTAACTTGCTAATCTCAGTGACCCCTGGAAAGTCTTCAGATGTCAGGACTGTCCTTTGTCCTGCCAGTTGCTGCTGGAGCTCTGCTATATTCCAGCTCTCCCTGGTAGGAGTGGCTGGCAGTAAAAGGACTTGATCAGTGGCTGGAGAGATGGTTCAGTGGTAAGAGCACTTTACTGCTCTTGCAGAGAACATGGGTTTGGTTCCCAGAACCCACATAGCAGCTGACAACTGCCTATAACTCCAGTTCCAGGAAATGCATGCCCTCTTCTGACCTCCATGGGCAAAAAGCATACATATGGTATATAGACATACATGTAGGCAAAACACCTGCACACATTAACAAACAAAAGACCTGGCCAAATGTTAGGTGCCTATTTTTTTTTTCTCTTGTAGACAGGGTCACATGCAGTCCAGGCTGGCCTCCAACTTGCTGTATAGTCAAAGAAGACCTTGAGCATCTGATTCTCCTGCCTCTACCTCTCCAGGCCTGGGATTACAGGCATGCACCACCTCATTCAGTTTATGTAATGGTAGGGAATCAAACCCATGGCCTCAGGCATTCTTGGCAAGCATTCGACCAAGTGAGCCACATCCTCAGCCCAGGTTTTTGTTTCACTCCAAAGTTGTATTTTCCCACCAAACTAGGTCTCTTTCAGTTACTATGATGCTGGCCACAATCTACCCAGGCTAGCGTCAGAATCATCATCCTCCTGTCTCAGCTTCCTGAGTGGCATTATGGATGTGTGTGTGTGGCAACAGGTTTAGCTATTCAAAAACTGTTTCGGTCCTATTCTTCTTCTTCTCCTCCAGTGATTCCTACTGTACACATCTTAGTCTGATGTCTGATCTACTCTGCTTGAGTTGTGCTTCTTTTCTGTCCCATACTCCTTTTCTCTTTATGTTTAAATTTTGCTAATTTCTATCACCATATTTTTAAGTTTGTGGACTCCTTATGTGGCTGTGTTGAGTCTACTGAGGCCTATGTTGGAGACCGTCTTCATATTTATCTGTATTTTTATTTTTAACCTCTCTATTTTATTCCTTATCATTTCTGTCTCACGTTGGGGCTATCTTTTTGTACACTGTGTGAAGATGTGTCTCTGTCCTCCCTCACCTGCCTATGGCACCTTTGATTGGTTTAATAAAGAACTAAACGGTCAATAGCTAGGCAAGAGAAGATAGGCAGGACTTCCAGGAGGAGATAGGAACTCAGGGAAAGAATCTGAGGCAAGGGAAATTCTCCAGCCAGACACAGAGGAAGTCGGATGTATTATGGTACTGAGGAGAGGTAACACAAGCCACCTGGAAGAATGTTGATTAATATAAACAGGTTAATTTAAGTTTTAAGAGCTAGTTGGGAACAAGCCTAAGATAAGGCCAAACTTTCACACTTAAGAAATCTCTGTGTTGGGACAAATAGCCAAACGAATGGAAACACATGAACTATGAACCAATGGCTGAGTGGCCCCCAACTGGATCAGGCCCTCTGAATGGGTGAGACAGTTGACTGGCTTGATCTGTTTGGGAGGCATCCAGGCAGTGGGACCTGGTCCTGTGTTCATTGCATGAGTTGGCTGTTTGAAACCTGGGGCCTATGCAGGGTCGCTTAGCTCGGCCTGGGAGGAGGGGACTGGACCTGCCTGGACTGAGTCTACCAGGTTGATCTCAGTCCTCAGGGGAGGCTTTGCCCTGGAGGAGGTGGGAATGGGGGGTGGGTTGGGGGGGAAGGAGGGGGGGCGGGAGGGGGGAGAATCCGTGGCTGATATGTAGAACTGAATTGTATTGTAAAATAAAATAAAATTAAATTAAATTAAAAAAGAAAAAAAAAGAAATCTCTGTGTCATTATTTGGGAGCTGGTGGTCCAAGAGAAACCTGCTACATTTGGTATCCAATGTGGAAGCACATATATCCAAGCATAGGGCTGGAGAAAGCTGAGAAAAGTTCTAGATGAGGAGCCAGATGTAGCTTCCAGGCCCAATGCTCACAGCATACAGAGGTGGGGCTTCTTTTAGAGGCCCTGTTATGCAGCCAAGCACTACTCCCAGTGGGAGAACAGGTAGAAATGCCTGCAGGCCCAGCAACATTCCAGGGCAGACAGGTGCGGCTCCTGGCTAGTGCCCACAGGCATGAGGCTCAGCTATCACAGAAGGGCAAGCAGCAGTTGCAGCCCAGAACCAGTGAGGTAGCCTGATGGATGGACCCTAGTGGGACAGAGCCAGAGGCAGGCTGCAGAAGGAGCCTACAGGTGCACACAGGTAGCTTGCCCTTTTAAAGCTTGGCTCACATGGTCAGAGAAGGCTGCAGGTAAACAGAAAGCCAGGTACAGACCAAGAAAACCTCTGAACAGGTACAGTATGCTTAAAAATGTTCTTGGGTGCTAAAGAAAAGAAAATGGATATATACAGACATAGAACAAAATAGTTTAAAAATAATAAAGTCTATGAAGAGAAATTAAATTAATATAAAAAGAGTAAGCCACATAAGGATGGGAAATATCATGACACAGAGCACTTTGACCCTATACAGTGCTTTATTAACTTTAAATTTGTAAATGCTAATAAACAAAAACAACAGCCACTAAAAGACATTGGATTATGAAAAAATGCTGAATTAAACCAGCATATTTTAAGGATGTCTTAATTTCAAAATGGAAGTCAAGAAATGTGTTGTATTGAGGGAGAGGTTATGCCTGTGTTTCCAAAGGAAACAAAGAGGTATGGATTCCTTCAAAATTAATAAAGATCAGATTCGACCTGGGGAAGCCTCTTGAAAATCTTGGCTGCAGACATGAAGGAAGAAACCCAGAAAACTACAAGACAGGTGACATGTATGCTGATCCCTCTACATGGGAACAGCTCTGATTAGATGAGACATGATAACTCTTGTTGGCTACAGAGTCCTCATGACAGTTTAGTTATGCAGTTCAAACAGACTTATAAAGTTGACAGATAACCTTTTAGCTGCTCAA